AGCATTATTGGAAAACAAATTCAAACTAAACTCAAAAACAACTGTATTTTTGATTTCTCATTGAATTGTCAATTGATTTCTTTGCTTACTTCGGATCTCATAGCTGGGAATCGCGAAATACAGGGAAACCCCGTCGACCAGCTGTTGATAGAAAGACACGCCCAACACATGACCAGTTTTGAGATCGATTAGTGGACTGCCAACGGTGTCAAAGGGAAAGGCGGCCGTGTGTTGTATATACTTCATGTCGGGTGTGATAAAGCCGTACTTCTTGCCAATCTTGGTGATCTCAGCGCCGGTTCGGCACTTATGGGCCACAATACCGCTGGTGACCGACGTGTATGTCTCAGCGCTGGTCACCGTCAGGACATCGCGCGTGGCTTTCAACTCTTTGAGGACATCCGGGCCGACAAAGTCGATGGCATACGACTTGGTTGTTGTGACAATGTACTTTGGCGGCAAAACAACAAGTGCCAGGTCGCTCTCCGGCTCCCTGTACCGCACCAAACAGCGTGCCTTAAAGTCCTTAAAGCCCGGTTTGCTAAGTGTCACGTATTTGGCATTGCCCACGGCCTTCGCGGTGGTCACCACGTAGTTCACGGATTGGCTCTTAACGTGCACTACAAAACCAGTGGCCACAGTGTATACTCGTCCGCCGTCTGGTGTGCCCTCTGGCTCGACCTCCGGTACCTGACCCTCGACTACAGTCTGTTTCACTGTTACCAAACTATTAAACGCTTTCTTTGCTATTTTTTCCGGGGTTTCGTCCATACGGGCCCGTCTTAGGCCCGACACCGCCGGCCATCCCGTGCCGATTGTCCCAAACAAGGCCTTTGGCTGTAAGTCCGCCGCCAGTGGTCTGTCGTCCGTCCGGTTGTGTCGCCGCCAGCGGTCGGCGCCGACCATCGATAGCGAGACCAATACCGGAGTCCTATTGTGTGGATTGGGTTTGAAATGAATGGTAAGTATCGGTTAAAACAGTTATTTAGTGAACACATTGTCAACGGATCCGCACCTGAGATGAGTGACAGAGAGTAAGACTCTGTAGTAATGCATGGCTTAAGACTCGTCTCAATTCAACACTTGTTTTATTAATCAGAAACTTATTGACAGTCTTTGTGGCGAAGAAATCAATTGACAATTCAATGAGAAATCAAAAATACAGTTGTTTTTGAGTTTAGTTTGAATTTGTTTTCCAATAATGCTATCGTTTGCGAGACTTTTGGATTTTTAATTGTAATAATTATTAAATAACTGCTACTTTTTATGCTATTTATATAAATAATTATTTACAGGTTACTTTTAAATTTCTGATAGTTATCACGAGTTAAAATAAATAACTTAAAAATAAATACATTTATGAATTTGTGTTTTAATTTTTATTTAATATTGTAATGATTCATAGTTAATATAAATGTTTTAATTACAATTCAAACTAATAAGTAATAATCAAAATGAATTAGTTTTATGTTTACGAATAACGTGTTGACGCAAATCTCTTAATAAAAAATACCTTTGATTACAATTATTATGAATACATTTATGGCTTTTTATATCCCTATGTCTGTCGATGTGATCTTTAAAATTAGATTTATCGGCAAAACTTTTGTCACAATCGTTAAAATTACAAACAAATGGTTTTTCTCCCGAATGTATGCGTTTGTGTGAAATTAAACTCGATTTTGCAGTAAATATTTTGTCACAATTTTTTTCATTACATTTGAATTTATGTTTCTTCAAATGAACACAACTTTTATGTTTAATTAAAGCAGATTTTGTTGTAAAACTTTTGTGGCATTCATTGAAATTACACACAAATTTCACATTTAGATGAACAGAATTTTTGTGTACAATTAAACTTTGATTTTGTGCAAATTCTTTATTACAATTATTAAAATCACATTTAAATTGTTTTATTGATGAATGAATTAATTGATGTCGAATTAGATTACGACTATTTTTGGTTTTGAACTGACATTTAGGCCAAAAACAGTGAAAATAATTAACATTATTTTTGTTATCAAAATGAACACAATTTTTGTGATTAAATAAGTTTTGTTTTGATGCAAAACTTTTGTTGCATTCATTGAAATTACAAATAAATCTCACATTTAAATGAACAACATTTTTGTGTACAATTAAATTTCCTTTTTTTGTGAACTCTTTTTTACAATTATTAAAATCACATTTAAATTGTTTTATTAGTGAATGCGTTAAATGTTTATCAAGATCGCCGTTTGATTGTGTTTTGTATTGATATTTAGGCCAAAAACAGTGAAAATAATCATCAGATTTAGTAATGATATGACAATTGTTTAGCATTTTATCAC